ATTTAGATTTTAACTAATTTTATTCTATTTTATTGTCATTCTATTTGATTGCATTCTGTTTATGTATTTTAGCTTTTTAGTTTTCACCTTATTTCCTTAAACTGTGATGTCTGTACTCAGAGAATAAACAGAGAATAGACTTTAAAACTCAGCTCTGAATGTTTAAATCCAGGCTGAAAACATCTGTTTAACTCTGCATATGGAAATTGAATATATTTTATCTGTCTAATTTTTTATTATTTTTCTGATTTTAAATTCTCGGTGAAGCACTCTGAATTGGCTTGTACACTAAATGTGCTGTAAAATAAACTTGCATTGCTTACTACAGCACTTTGACACACCCCTACTGTTTTTAAAATGTGCTTTATAAATAAAGTTTGAGTAGATTAGAGCTGGACAGAGGTCCCCCTGCATAATTGTGCTTATAGGAGAAATTCTGGGGGACTGTGGACATAAGATAAGTGTGTTAAAAGGTGCCCTGTGTGTTCGTTGAGTGGTAACTGAATTGTTTTGCTGTCTTTGGGGTGTTTCCATGAGTAACTGGCAAAATAAAATTGAAAAATTAAAGTAAAATCCAGTTTAAGATCAGAAACAGGAACCCAGTCAGCATCCCTGTAACAATACATACATATATACTGTATATATAAATATTAAATCCTCCCTAAAAACACACTTCTTCTCCCTGGCTGACATGTGCTGTAAAATAAACTTCCCTTGCCTTCTACAGCACTTTTACCAACCCTAATATTTTTAAATGAATACGGACAAAACGCATTAATGAACATCAGTATTAAAAAAAATGTAAATAAGCCTGATTATAGCTACAAAGCTAGTTTTCATCCGTTGTCCCTAGGCAGGCAAACGCATAAGAAAGAACATACAATAAACAATATAAGCATCACAATGAAATGTTAAGAGTTTAGTGGTCACATGACTGGTTTGCTTTTATCCATAATGGGAGTTGAGCCCCCCCCCTCCCCCTGTATTGAGACTGTTTGTGTTTCAGTGATGGCGTGCGGGAGTCGGTGGAGGGGACGGCCGTGGTCAAAGACCAGCGAGTTCCCGCCAAACTGGGAGTTAGCTTCTCCTAC